ATACTGAATCCTAATAGCAGCTGAGGAAATTTGCAGCCTCTAAAGGAAGAGCCTGTCTGAACAGAGGAACTTCCAAGACCACAGCAATGTGCTAGCACTACTCTTTAAGTACTTTTTAGATCCTCACTAGACTCTGCTAGGGTTAGAGTGATGGTGAATACTAACACTTAACCGGGGAAGCATGACTTCTCTAACAGCGTTGAAAATGCGGATGCTGGCAGCAGTTCTGATCAGACCTTCCAGTGTAAAAGAGCTCCCAAGTTTATTATCCATTGCAGTTACCATCAAATATCTCATAAACCAAACTATCTTTGTTCCATTGCTGCGCAGAATCCCCACGGTCCGTCCCTTGCTGTCCTCTCCCTATCTATTACCACATTGTACCGAGCTCAGCCAGTTACTGCTTCCTGGAAAAACTGCAGCATCCCTTTTGCATTTTCCATTTTTTGGTCACCCTAAAGGATTATGTCCATACTGGTCTATCTGCCTAGCGCTGCGCTGCTCTACCCACCAAAACTGCCATCACCATAAACGTGCAGCCCCAGGAGGGATTAATTTGAGAAGATCTATTTGACTCTCTCGAGATCTCAAGAAGAAGGATCTTCTCAAGAAGAAGGAGCCAGGCACAGGAGCAGAGCCTCACCTGTAATGAGGTTTCGGATGAGGAGTGGCTCATCTTCTTTATAATATTCCAACATGCCCTGAAAATTTTTCTCCTTCCTCTGGACAGCAACTTCCATGTTACGCTCGTACTGCCTCCTCTCCACTGGTAGCATGGCTTGGGATGCTGTGAAGAGAAAAGAGCATGAAAGGTGGTACCTGGCAATCGAGAACTTTTCAGGTCCTTGGAGCAGACCCAAGTCAAAGCGTTCTATATTACTTCCAATAATGTCATCAGCTTCAACAGACTTATAAAAAATGTAAATAACCAAGTCTTGAATTACCGGTCAGACTTGGAATGAAAGAAAGAGTGCAAGAGTTGGACCTGAAGAGGAAAAGGTAAAGTCATTTTTTATTTTCTAAGGAACCACAGGCTAGAGTGCAGTAACCCTACGGGAAGTTTTTTAGTGTATCATTTTCACAGAGGGGGAAAAAAACAGCCAGGCATTGAAAAAAATACCTAAGCATTACATGTTCTGGCTGACTGTAAAGCTGAAGAACCACAGTGGCACACCATTGAGCATTGCGCTTCCACAAAAATTCAATAAAACAGAAGAGACCAGTGTGCAAGCACCGCAGGAAACAGCAGCCTGCTGCATGCAGATTGTACCGACAGACCAGCTGGAAACCTCCAGTTATTCAGCTTAATTTCACATAATGCCTCATTTTCAGAAATTAGCTCATGAGAACAAGGTTGTGTGATTAACCACTGCATCACTAAAGAATGGGAAGCTCTTTTGATACAACACAAAATGCCACATTTGAGGTGTTTTCTGATCACACAGAAAAAAAAAAAAGTATTTTAAACCTAAATGGTTTTAATCCCCCTCGAAATTGCCAGAACAGAGCAGTTGCCTGCTAACCACTGGTCTCTCTCTATCTCTGCTTTGGCAAAGAAAAACCTGCAGCTCTCCAAGGCTGGCTAAAGGACTGAAACCAGAGTGCTGTTCCCCCACCCCAGTGCCTACCCACAACCAAGTCACCTTCAAGTTCTTGGACCTTCTTCATGTAAAGCTTCAGCTGCTTCTTCAGCTTCCTTTCATTTTTTTCCAACCTCTCGAGCAATTCTTTAAGATCCTGAAAAACACAAGATGCACTGAGTTACCAAAAAAAAAAAAAAAAAAAAAAAATTAAACCCAATAACAACTCATGTGGGGTGCATTTGAGGCTGTTCCTAGGAGGAGCCTCCAGCTGGCAATACTCACAACACACCACCCAGAACACTCTACTCCTGGGTGTTAATAATATTTAAACAATTACAACCCTATTTAGCATTTAGAGTTGTTGAGAAAGGCAAGAAGCCCTCACCTGAATTTTGGAGGGGCCCAGATCTTGCAACACAGATGCAGGAGGTGAGAAAAGGAAAATTTATGATCAACCAGGCCAGCTTTTCAGAGGGGCAGCTGCCCCCCACATCCCCAACAAATGCAGGTAAAAAGAAAGGATTGTGATATCTTTGTGCGTAATTACAGAGTAGAGGGGAACCACTGATCTCATTTGGCAGGCAGTGCCACAAAATAGACAAGCGTAAAAACAAGTTTAAAAATAAAGTACCTGTGGAGTGACAGGAGTCATACAGCCACTGAAAAACAGTTCAAGGCCAAGTACCGATGCTCCTAAATGCACCAGCAGGCAATGCTGAAGGATCCTGCAGAGATCTGTTTCTATTTCCCCTCCTCCTTCAGCTATGTTTCCAGATTTTCTTTTGTGAAAGAAAGAAATCAGCCTCTTACCAGATTTTCATTGGTGAGACGTGTAATTTCTTGCTGAAGTCCAAACTCCACCTGGGCCTCCGGAGACAGCTGCAAGGTCTGCAGGAAAGCTTGCTGCTGCTTCTCCAGCTTTTCTTTCATCGCATCCACCTCATTTTTCAGAGCTTCCATCTCCTCCTCGTGCTCTCTTCTCTGATCCTGGAGCTGTGCTTCCAGCAACCTGAAAAAAAAACCGCACTGATCATCCTGTGATTTCAGCATTGTGGCCGTAACCACCGTTTGAGTTTAGATCTTTCAAAGCCAGCCAACATGGGAGATGTTTGCAGCCAACCTCCCTAGGAAACTGACACGCACACAAAGGACTACTAGAGCTGCTATAGCCACATTAGTCTGTCGTTTGCTGTACTGCAGAGTAAATGCTTCTGAAATCAGAGACACAAAATCAAAAGTTTTAAGGGTTTGGAATTTTTTTTTTGTTGTTTTGGTTGGGTGGGGTTTTATTAAATAAATATAAATGTATTTAATAAAATAGGGCATTTGTTCTCGTTCTCACCTCCTTTCAAACATCATCTCTTGCTCGTGAAAACTAAACTGCGGATCTTGCAAATGGCTCCGTTTGGCTGGACTGCCACAGGCTTCATTTGCTACTGCTGGGAGTTCCAAGAAAGGCAGAAGCTGAAACCCTTCATTCCTTCTAGTTGTTTGTAGAGCTGCTATTTATCTTTGCTTAAAAACAAGTATATTCACGTATATCTCAATTTTCCTTCATAAACTACCTGCAGAAAACTATGCACAAGGCAATTCTCCATCATTTTGATCGGTTCCTGAGCTTAGCTTTCATCATCGCTGCTGACTTCACCAAGACTCTTCAGCAGTGGGGAAAAAGTTTTCTCCCTTGTTCTCCATGACATACAAATACCAACACCTTGATACACAGCCGACAGAACTTAACAAAACCAGTCTTTCTCCTATTTTTAGGTGGGTACCCCACTTTTTTTCCTAATAGTTCGCCCTGCTACCTTCTCCTGCTCCATTTTCCCCTCCACCAGGTCTCCCTCCAGCCCTGTGCACAAGGACAGCTCTGGCAAGGGGGGAAATGCTGAGCTAAAGGGTTAGCAGGACATTTAGTCAACACGTTATCCAGCCACTTGCTCAACCAGAATGTCTTCCTTAAGCCAGTGGAAGAATGATTCATCACCGAGATGGTGACTGTACACACCCTTGCTGATGGGGATGCCAACGAACCTGGCAAGCGACATAATTGATTTATAAGGGTCTCCCTGACCCTCTGCTAAATGGAAATCTCTTCGTTCATCCACCAGCTCTTTCAAGACTACCAAAATAAGTGACTCCAGAAGGTATGAGGACTCTCAGGAAGGGGCATCAAGCATTGCATAAAGGAACACATGCTTTCTATGGAAGATTTCTGGCTAAAAAGCATTACTCATTCTCCAATTCTGTTTTTTTTGCTATTCTTGTTTTTAGAAGATCTAAACAACCCAATCTCTACTCCCATTTTCCAGCAAAAGTCAGAAATCCATGTTTTCCAACTATAGAAACATGGGCAACAATGCACTCAGACTTGTAATCACGTCAGGAGTTATATTCTTAATAGGCTTAGAAAATACAAGCCCACCATGAAATAAGTATTAAGTACTTAATTTTCATTTTATTTCTTCATGTAGGTTTGGATTAACAGTGAGCTGCCCTCAGGAAAACACATTCCTTCTAGGAACTTGTGTTCCTATACTGCTTTGAAAAACAAATGACTCATCCCTGTTATTTTTCCTGTTACTGTCTGGTTTTACTCCGATACCTCTAAATGTGACCACTTGAAATTACTTTATACCAAAGATTTGAATTTTTCGTTTCTATAGTGTCCTTAATTAGCTTGTTTCATCTTTTATAAAAATCATATATAAAAATCGTACATATTGGAGCCTCAATACCACCCAGCAGGAGAGCACAGACTGATTAATGATTAATTATCAGCTCTTCCAAGCACCAGGTTGAACCAGAAGAATCGAGGAGTCCGTCTCCCAAGCTGTGTTCCTAAACGTTCATTAGCTTGGAGATGAGTGCTCATTACAGAATCCTGCTCTGCTGTGTCCCACTGGGATATCTGCCCACCGGAGCAGGAGATGGGGAGAGCGGTGGAAGGATGGCACCGTGTGTCCACCACCTCCTTATACCTATAGACAATGCCTGGATGGGAGCATGCCATCCCCGGGAGCATGCAAAGCAGCCAGCATCACAATACAAGCACGGGGACTCCACTCCTGACATGCCAAGGATGGGGAAAGAAAAAAAAAAAATTCGGGAGGTGCTATATCTTAGTGCAATTCAGGAAAAACCATCTAAAATGGGGTGTTTAGGGCTTCCTGCAGATTACATCTTCCCAAACTATTTATCACACAATTTCTCATTCATGTAAGATAATTTTTGCTGAATCACAGCTCAGGCATTAGTGACAGACACCATCAGCAATGCCTAATTTGAATCACAGCAACTCCTTTGAAAATTAGAGGAGGATCTCAATTCCTCCAGGTCAGATATCCCACCTCCGGCTGTTCCCAGAGAGGACAACGGGTCCTACAGAGGACAACAGGACAACAGCAGAAGAAGAGAAAGAAACAAAAGGGGAAAGAAAAGGTGGAGGGGAAAAAAGAAAGTGTTTGACCTGGCAACTTGCTTTAAGCCTTGATAAGCCAAACCGAGCTCTCCATCTTCATTGAGATACCCCCAGTCCTCAGTCTTGCTAGAAATAAAGGACAGAAAAAGGAAACAAGAGGACAGAGAAAGACAAAAGGTCAATTGTGATACAAGGGAAAAGGAAGCAGAACCTTTATTAATGTCTTTTTTTTTAAAAAAGCACAGTTTAATTATGTTGTATTTCCTTCTCCACCCTGAGAAATGAGAACCATGTCCTAGTTGTGCCCCTCCACAACAGCCCAGTGGAGCCTCTCCGTCCCTTTCTCCCTTTTTAATAGGTTTGGGGTTTTTTGTTTGGTTGGTTTGGTTTTGGGGGTTGTTCTTTTGTGTGGTTTGGTTTTGGTTTTTGTTTTTAGTTATAAAAGGCAGGAAACTAATTTATCTTCTTTAATGAGGTGTTGAATACATTACAAATGAGGGATGGGAGCTGGTCAACCCGAGCAGGAACACTTGCTACAGCGAGATTTTAGTTGGCTTTGATGCGAGTTAGAAAACAGTTTTTCTTTTTGGAAATAATAATTTTTTAAAAATCACGTAACAGATCATTAAACTTTCAGAGAAGAAAGGAACCAAGCCAATACGCATCTCCCATTTTGAAAAGAGGCATATAGCAGATGTGGCATACATAGCAGGCTTCCAAAAGGGTCTGCAGGTTGACAAATACAGGGAGGTTTCTTGGTTGGATTTGGGTAAAATTTTTAGCAGGGATTTTTTTTGTTGTTGTTCAGATAATCTTAACAGAACATGTATTTAGGCACTGAAAATCCAGGAAAAAAAAGACCTCCAAACCAGGAAGGATCCTCACTATTTATTACATACCAGTGAGCTGGGAAATCTGAAATTTCTAACACATGCATTTTCCTGGATAACCTCCTTTGAAAAAAGAGCTTTCCTTCCTTTTTTTTTTTAATCATATGCATTGTGGAAAATGAGGAAAGCCATTACACCGAGATAAAACTGCCCTGGGAAATAAGCGTTCAGTCTGTGTTCAGCAACATGGCACTGACTCAGAAATCATTGAGATCCCCTTCTCCCAGACCTTCATCTTCACCAAGCCATTAAAAGTCAATAGGGCTCCTTTCAAGCTAATTAGATTAATTAGTATGTGCCAAAATATTTTCTTAGAACGCTGGGTAAATCCTTCTCGTAAATAAGGCTGAAAGGACACGATTCACAAAGCCTCGTTTCTCCTTTATCTTGGGAGGTAAGGATCTGGGGGAGCTGCTGGCGACCTGTGGTTGGCAAAGTTCCTTCATGAAAGGGAAAGAAATTCCTGCCCAAAAGCCTCCTTCCCCTCCTCCACGTAGCTTAAAGGAGGAGCAAGGACACCAAACCCCAGAGACATTAATTTTAGCATCTTCAGATAATGATCATCTCTTAATAAAGAAAGGACATTTCATTTTCAAACACAGATCTGCTGCTTTTTCTTTTTTTTTTTTTTCTAATTAAGTAGAAAACTAATGCACACCACAGTTTAGATATAGCACAGAGTGGGAAGCAGCAATAAGAAGAGACACATTGGAGAGTGGTAAGGAGAGATAGGAACCCTTTTCCATGGGATGGCCTCTTCCAGCTGCAAAAGCATCCTCCAAGCCAGCGTCAGCCCTTTGCTCTGCATTTCTGGGACTTACCCAGAAGGAAAAAGAAAAGAGAAAAGAAGAAAAAAAAAGAAAAAAGAGAAACCATGTACTCTACCAAAATCATCTGGAAGTTATCAGAGAAGTTATTTCAAAGACTAAGTCTGATCTGCTTTGAGCTGCCAGGTTATTAACTCTAACATCATCACTTGGTCTTTTGTCAGCTCTACATTTCCACCAAGATCAAACAGGCTTGAAAGAAAGATCCCAAGAACAGAAACAAGAAACAAGAAAACTACTTAGCTTTACATTCAGTTATTGAAGCACAAAATTAGCTGGAAACTAACTTGATGCTTTTCCCTTTGGCAGATGAAAGTCAGCAGAAAAAAATAAAAGGGAAAAAAAAAACCAAACTGAGTTCACTCCATTTATAAGGGGCTGCTTTTAATTCAAACTTCCCCCTGACCTGGCATCAAAGGGCTTTCCCTCAAGAGCGGCGTGGAGAAACAGAATCACTACATGGGCAGGGTTAGCAGCACCAGGCAGTTTTTCCCGTTTTTCTGCTGTTGTATTTAAAAATTCTGGATTCTATAGAGTGAATAAAAGGTCTATTTTCCATCAAAATAAAGCACAGGTAGGAGAAAAAGTGGCTCTATGCTTATTAATCCCACTTCAGAATTGCAATCTCACTGGAAAAGCTTTCCATGACAATATTTATTGATCAAGATTAGAGAGAGAAAGCAGTTTTATTTCTCATGCTGACACACTTGGGTATAGAGCTGCATTAAGTACGAATGCAAATCTGTGCTGGGGGGAAGGAATGTGAATTTATATCCACAAATACAATAATCCATGCTCCCCAAGCATTTGTTTTCATCTGTTTTGTTGCCATTGATTCCAGCCTACAGTTTATAAACCAACCTAATCTACAAACAAATTAAGGGGGAATCACCTAACAGGGAAGCTGGTGGTGATTAACGAGCCACGGGATAAATCACCGCAGAAAATCAGGAAGTTGGTCTATAGAGTTACTGCTACTGTATTACAAGAGCCAAGTTGTTGATGATTTCTGCGTCTGATTCCATCCTCACTGCACAAGTTGTGAAATCTGGAAACCAGAACTGCTGAAAAAGTCTCCCAGTAGGTTGACTAAAAGCAGACAACACATGCTCCAGGATGGACAAAGATCAATTGCTACTGGGGACCAGTGACACAACCTGGGCAGACACATGTCCTAGAAAAGCAGCAACTCTTCTTTTGAGTCCAGCTCCTTCACTACCCATCCCTAGACAGGCACACTGGAAAACGCAGGTTAGGGAGTAATGAGCTCTGTGCCTGACAGTGGGATTTCACATCCCATCCTTGTGCCCACAGGTCCAGAAGAAAGTTGGAAAGAAATAAGAGAAAATCCACTGAATTAATTAAATGACCAAAAAACACACCTTGCAGTGGGAAGCGCTCTCAGCTACACTGATGTATTGATGATGTTTAAATCAATCTCATCACCTCTGCTGCAGGAGAGGTAGAGATTTCATCAGCAAGTTCACTTCAGGAAAGCAAACAGTCAATGGTGACAAATTGAAAAAAAAAAACAAACACTGGTCCTGACCCAGCCGGACATAATGAGAAAACCAGTGTCACCAGAGTCCTGGTGCCCAACGATCCCCACTCCCCCAGGTCCCCCAGCCAAAATGAAAGCTGGCAGTACTAGTGTGGGCACCCATCAGGGTTTGAAGCTGTATTTAAATGCAATGCATGTGGAAGACAGCCCTTCCAGCAAGCCCATCTCTGTACTCACACACTAGGAGATTCTCCACAGGTATGAATAAAATCCTAATTAAATCATGGTTTTTCCCAGCCTGGACTGCTAACAACCTTCTGCAGCCAGTTCACAAAGTGGCAAAGTATACTGTGTTATTAAAAACCACTAATCCACAATGGTTAGGTCTTCTGACTACCTTGCTTAATGCAAATTATTCAGGAAAAAAAGCCTCAAACTTCTGTATTTGTCAAGAGAAAAGGAGACGAACATTCAGTTGCCTTGCAGTAAACTAAATATTTACTTTATATATTTTCTTGCAGTTTAATTAATGTAATTTTGTCTTCTTGCAAGATACTACTTTTTAATTTTATGTCCTCCTGGATAGCTGCAAGGACTGATTGGATGCTAGATGTTACTAGAAAGACAGACACACGTTCACAATATTAACCCTCGCTACGTTAAACCTGTAATCAAACAAATGTTCCTGACTCTCTGTTTAGATGCAAGAAAATCAATAATGTGGGTGGTGCCAGGGAATACAGCACGTGTTTGTTAGCTCAGTTCACCATCATGGGCTCTGGCCTCCAAGAAAACAAGAGGAGGACCATGCTGTCTTTCCAGCATAGCATGAGTATGTTCTTGAAATAAGTAACTCTGAAATAGATCCCAAATCCTACTCTTTCATAAAGATGGGATGAATGACAAGGGCTCCTCACTCTCTGCATCTTTGGTCCCATCTTCACGGGCCATCCTTGACCCAAGGTGCAGAACACAATCCAGAAGCTGGTAACTCTCCAAAATGTTGTGTTAATTTTATTCTGGATCTCACCTCTCACCCTTTGGCCAGCCCCTTCAGCAGCTGGAAAAATTTTTGGCCACACTTACCGGTTCGTCTCGCACATCCCCTGGTAGGCTTCAATCACATCCTCCTGATCGATGTGCTTGTCACTGTTCGGCCAGCTGGCACTGGTGGTGATGTTCTCCTAAATTCAACATGCAAAACACAGCAGCGTGACCTCCTGCACATCTCCTCCCATCTTTCAAAGATCCTGATACCAAACAACTCCCAACAATCCTTAAAAAGAGCTTCCTCAAGGCATCCATTGGACTAGGGAGTTCCTATGAACCCATACGCGTGCAAACAGACAGCAACAGAAATTAGGAGATGGAAGGAGAATGCAGTGAACCTGGTGCGTATGGTCTGAAATACAAAATATATCAAAAGCTCAAGGAACGCTAAGGCAGTGAATTAAAAAGCCCACGTTGGAGTTCTGAGCAAATGTACTCTTCCGTCAGTAAAGGCTCTAAAGAAAAAACCCTCAGCTGTGACGGGACATGGACTGTATCTTATCCATAGGCAGAACCTCCTATAACCTCCCCCTGCCACCCCAGAGCCTACCAAAGCCAAACGAGCATCGCTCAGGCAGACGGGATTTCCAGCAACAGAATGGGAAAAAGAAAAGAAAACCCATCACTCTCTCAATTACCAGGTTTTTGCCCGGCTCTTTTTGCTGGGCTGCCTTCATAATCTGTGTCCTCAGGATAAGCACCTCTTCCTTTCGCACTTCCAACTCCTCGTTGGCCGATTTCAGCTGATTAAGCAAGAGGTTATAACTGTCCTGCATATCGGTGGATGAGTTGTTTTGGGTTGCTCGGTCTGCAACAGCCTTCCTCAACTCATTAAGTTCATTTTTCAGCTTCTTGTTCTCTGACTCCAGCTCTTGCCTCTGGAAAACACCAAGCCGTTAACCAGTTTAGATAAACTCTCTTGTCGTGCCTCATCCTTTTCTGAGACTCTTCTAATTACCGATGACCACAGTTGAACAATCAATTCTGGATTTTCCTGGCAGTCCAGATCAACAGACTCTTCCTGTAGCCTGTTGCCATTTAATAACAACGCTACAGGGTGACACAGGGGAGACTTTTTTCTGTTGACACTATTTTTAAACACAAAAGCAACCCATTAGACAAGCCAAATATGTTTGTTTCTTCTTGACCCCTTTTCCTTCTCAATCAAGAAGTCACCGCAAACCCCACAATGTTTAACTCATCTTTAATATCCATTAAATATTAATATATTCAGCAAATACTGATTTACATGACCCTTCCTCACGGCAGGCATCCCGTTAGGTGAGTTACGTCTGTGTGAATTCTACTACGGCTTCTTTTCTCATACGTTGTGTAATTCCCCCACCCCAGTGCGATGTTTGCAGTTGGACAATTTTCTGGACAACATCTCGTTTGACAGGCAGGGGCAACACTGTACAAATTTTACACCGACCACTTCTCCCAAATAACGATGCACGAGCATCCCTGTGTTCACTGAGGCAACTGAATGGCTTGTTTGCTTGCTTTTGCATGACAGTAGAAGACAGAAGAATAAAACTCCAGCAGCTAAAACACCCTTTATTTTCACTAAATTTCTCTCCCCGCTGCCACTTGACCCTGTCCACAGCTTTCTTGCAGGATCCCTCTCTTATTTATGGGGTATCTGCTTCATTATCAGCTTTGGCTGTGGCAAGCTAACGAATCTGAAAATGGCTAGGGGCAATTTATACATTTTATACGGTGTGTAGCTAGCACAGCTGTGTAAACCTCATTTCCATAGGAAACGGGAGTTATAATTATAAATCCTTACAAATTATAAATAGCACGCTTTATCACAGCAGAGGTGTGAACAGAATAGCTGATCTAGCATCTGGACAGAGTCCAAGCTGAACAAAACACCATCAGTAACAGAATATATTCAGGTACTTTATACCATCTGTCATTAAAAAAAAAAAGGATGAGAAATGCATTCAGTCCAGCAATTCTTCCACATCAGCCACAGCTCAGCAGAGGGAGCATATGAGATGCAGGCTTTTCTGTAACTCATTTTTAAAACAAGACTTTGAAAAGCGTGTGTGTGGTGAGGAATCTGTAACAAACTGGGTTCAACTCTTCTTGTTACGTGGCTAAAACATCGACTCACTCTCCACTCTTTTCTGATCATGCTCAGAGACAGAAGAAAATTAAAAAAAAAAGAAAACGAGAAAAAAGAAAAAAAGAAAGTGATTAACTGCTTCTCTACATAAATTACTGTTCTGTGATTTTTGTTATTTGCTAGATAAGATCATAGAACCATAGAAGATCTCCCTTTTCTTTGTCTTTTCCTTCCTCCTCCCCTATTTCCCTGAAATTAATATGAATTTTCACCTAGGTGAGCTGTGAAGACCGATGCAGCTGAACAGCTCATTGTGACGTAGGAGTGTTGCTCTGGATGGGGGAAGAGGTGCTTGGATAAGGTAATGAATGACCCAGGGTATGGTTTGGATAAATATACATCTATAAATACAATAAGCAGCCCAAATGTAAATATATTTCTAAGTATCTGCATTATTTTAAAACACTGCATACAGATATCAGTTTGGGGAAATGTAACAGATGCGGTTATTGCTGAAGAGTGGGTTTTGTTGGGGGTTAAGGATGTTTCTGGGTCTTGTTTCAGTACTTTGTGACTTGAGTCTTCACTGCCCTTTGGTCACTTTTGTGTCCCATTCAAGATATTTTTGACACGCACAGCCCCTTGAGCGGGACAGTACAAGGTGTGGTGTTAGTGGATGGTGTGCAGGCTCCGGTTTTGTAGCCAGCACATGTGCAGTGGAAAAAGCATCCTTCACCATCAGAGGGCTTGTTACCAGTGTGGATGACTCAGGAACAGGCAAACCGGTGCAGAACAGATGTTGCCCCAGAGAAGAACATCTGTGAGCCCAGCCCAGGCGCTGAAGGAGAGCTACAGCTTTCCAACTGCTGTCAATGCAGAACCAGTTACAGGAGGTTTTGGGTTATTGCCACGTTCAGACAATTTTTGGGGGGCTGTTGGAGCCGTGCAATAAGGTTACAGCACTACGGAGGAGCTCCTTACCCACCTTCAGACTGTTGTATGCCAAATCTTCAGGTTCTGAAGCCACTTCAGTCTTCATTTCAATTACCTGCATGGATTAAAGAGATTAAATAATATTTAAAAGCAGCCAGAGGAACTGGCATATAGCACAGGATGGCGAGGAATGCCTCCAACAGCAGCCAGCCCGGCTGCATCGCTGCTGGCCAGCTTAACTGTAATCACGTTATTAATTGGTGTTAGACAGAATTCCAGCAACTCAAAGGGGGGAAGAGGCCCCTGCGGGAGAAAATAGTTTAATCTCCCATTAATATTTTGACAACTTCAGCTCACTGCAGCTTTCAAACAATGGCAGTCATTAAGGGAACAATCTTCAACATCGTGGTGGGGAAGCAGGTTTTTAATCTGCCTCTGTAGCGAGGATGAGAGGCTGGGGAAGTTTCCTGTCTCGTGTGGTTCCTGCAAATTGCTAGAGGTGATCGGTAAGAATATCTGGTGAAGCATGTAAAGAATTACTGTTGGTGATTTTGTAGAGTCTCTTATTGCGTTTATCAACAGACACACAGACCTCACGCTGGAGTGAAGTAAAATAATTCCCAAACAAAGCAACAGCAGCCCCAGAAATTTCAATTATGAAGCCAAGAGCGATGGCATTTGCTCAGTGTTTTATATAAAAGCATATTTACTGCTTCACGACACCGTACACACAGCACTGCTGTTTCATGGCATGAAACCGTCTCCCACACTCTGGCCTCTGAACAAGTCACGGTTACAGATGGCAGGGTAAAACGTATCCAAGACATCTGCTCTTAAAAGCCCCCATGCCAAACGTCAGCTCACTTGTGCCTAGAGAGATGTATTTTCAGATTACACTTGTAATTCAGGAATGACTCCTGACTCTTAAGTTACCACTGGGCTGTCAGTAATTTTTTTTTAATTACTTTTAAATTTAAATTACAACCAAATGATCCAAATGTAGGAAGAAAGATTATATCAAAGGAATATCCTTGCCCTGCAATCCAGTGAAAAGGAAAAACGCCTTCTGCTAACAGCTACCTTCCTATTTCTGGTTTATTATACCATTTTAGGCTATATTCCTATGTGATCATTACTGGGGATAAAAAGAAAAACCCACAAAAAATATAAAGATACCAAACTGAGGACACAAGCCTGACAGACACATCTGTGAAGTGCTCATCAGGTCATGCCACGCATTGCTGTACAGGGGGAAGCCAGGACTCTTGAATAACCCAATTTATTGAAAGGGAGGACTGTTGGAGATGTGGGCAATCCTCAGGCAATCGAGGAGAGCCAGTTACCAACATGAAATATTAGTATGCATGAAAATACATCTCTTACCTGGGATTTCTTGCTCTCTTGCTCCTTTTTCTCCAGCTGGGTTTGCAGCTTCTTCCTCTCCTGCTCCAGCTCCCTCACACGCTTCTGCAGCTTTAGGAAGAGGGTCATGTCCATGGCGGCTTTCTCCATTCCAGCCTCCTGGAGAACAGAGGAATGGAAAAAGGAAAAGACCTCAGTCAAGTTTTCTAACCACACACAGTGCCAGATACTCCCTGACTGTACATCAGCACCAACCCCAGCCACAGCTGGTAACGAGAGCATCCCAAAAGAGACCAAACCTCCACTTTAAATACCTATTTTTAATGTCAGTAAACAGCTAATCATTTTAATAAATTGTTGAATGTTTAACAGCCCAATAGATAAATGGGCTGACTGGGGCCACATTAAAATCACAGAATGGTTTGGGTTGGAAGGGACCTTCAAGACCATCGAGGTCCAACCCCCTGCCATGGGCAGGGACCCCTCCCACTAGCCCAGGTTGCTCAAAGCCTCATCCAGCCTGGCCTTGAACCCCTCCAGGGATGGGGCATCCACAGCTTCTCTGGGCACCCTGGGCCACTGCCTCACCACCCTCACAGGAAAACATTTATTTCTGATATCTCATCTCAATCTCCCCTCTTTCAGCTTAAAACCATTACCCCTCATCCTATCCCTGCACCCCCTGATCAAGAGTCCTGCTGGTCACGCTTCTGGTGATGCAACCCAGGACATGGTTGGCTTTCTGAGCTGCAAGTGCACATCGGTGGGTCATGTTGAGCTTCTACTGAGTCCCTTCTAGCCAAGTATTTATCAGATTTTTTTAATTGGCCTCACCTGGAATATTTTATACTAGAGCACAACCAATACTGATTATTTTGACTTCAGCAAGTGCTCTCAGAGCAGTTCAGAGCAGGAAATCAATTTAATCCTTCATGCTTTATAGTCCAGCCTTCCTCCTCTGTGCTTCCAGACCCACGTCAATAATCCCCGCAGAGGGGGGCTCTCCTCCTCGCCCGGAGCCTGACCGATTTACTGTACCTCCACTTGTTGTATTACATCCTCGGTGTCTCCTGTCTCAGAGGTTGATATTGATGGATAATTGGAATCGGACTCCAAACTGCTCTGGTTGGATGGGCTTCTCCTGTGCCCTGGTGCTTGCTGCCAAGGAGTGATGCAGACACAAAGCATTCAAGCGGTTTAGGAAGGATTCTTCATGAAGCACTATTTCTTTGAGCAAATATTTGTCTATATATCAAGGTTACCTTCACAAAAGGCTTAACTGTCACCTTAGAGCAAATCCCATTTTCTAATTCTTATGTCCTACCACAACGTTCACATTAACACAAGGGAATACTTTAAAATGGGAAGTGATACAGAAGCTCAGTTTAAAAATTCTGCATGAATTAAAGGCTCTTCGTGACACCAGATGCCTGTTAAGTGCCAACATGCAACTCTGAGCTCAAGATTATGCTGTTCACAGCGTCCTCCAGGGCTCCCTTTAAACGCTCAACCTCCCACCTATTCCAGCACCACTCTAACTATTATCTAATTTTCAACAGTTCTTCTAACACTTTAGTGTAGCTGAACCTAAAAACTGGCTTTTGAAATTCTCAAGTAATGTTGTTGGGTTGTTTTGTTGGTTTTGGGTGAGGTTTTTTTGTTTGGTTGGTTTTTTTCTTTCGTTTTGTTTGGTGATTTGTGGGTTTTTCTGGGTTTTTTTTCAACCCAACACTTACACCTGAACACCAGTGAAACAAAAAGCAATACAAGGAGCATGAACCAGGTTTTGCTGGGATTCACAGAGATCCCTAAGTAGTTAAAAGAGAAGCGTGAAAGATCAGGCTCATTTTGAAGGCAGACGTATGGTTCAGCTTCAAGGCAGAAGTTCAGTCTCAGAAACATCAAGCACAAGCTGCATGATAATATCAGTTCTATTGTTTTGGGGATGAGCAAGCCACATTATCCAGCCACCAACACTGTGTCCAGGACACAAGAGAAAATGGATAATTTCAGTTTCGTTACCTTTATAATAGTCATTTCATCCCGCAAGCTGTCGTATCTCTGCTCCAGCTTTGAATACTCTTTTATCAGGTTCTGATATCGAGATCTCTCTTCTTCCAGCTCCTTCTTCATCTGGATATTTTCCTCAACTGTGTTTTGTGCAAATTCATCTTTAAAATGCAAAGGAAAAAAAAAGAGAAAAATAAAAGAAATTATGATCTTCATCTCTGAAATGAACTTCTCGTAAATGTGTGCCATAACAATGACTAATTAACAAACTGCTCTCTGCCAAGAACCTTTAAAATACACATAAGCATTCTGTAATATTTGGAGACTATTATAATCTAGATCCGTCTCCTCACCATTTGAAACAGCTTGAGGTCTTCTGCTTGGAGGCAGAGCCCTCTGCCATTTAATTTAAAGAAAAATCTCCAGTACCTAGAAGCCTACAGATATTATGCTTCTCTCAGCTGGGCCATCTCCAGCTTGTGTGGGCCAGCCACAAACCCTCTTAGGAAAAGACCAGCACAGTATGGAAATACGTGCAGGTTTAAGGTTTGAAGGGGAAAGGGGGAATTACCAGCCCCATGACAGACAAACCTAGGGGTGGCACACTAAGGGTAGGAGTGGATCCGACAGTTCAGCTCAAGTGCATCTACACTAATGCACGCAGTGTGAGCAACAAGCAAGAGGAGCTGGAGGCCATTGTGCAGCAGAACAGCTGTGACCTAGTGGCCATCACAGAAACATGGTGGGACGAGTCTCACAGCTGGAGTGCCGCAATGGATGGCTGTAAGCTCTTCAGAAGGGACAGGCAAGGAAGGAGAGGAGGTGGGGTGGCTCTTTATGTTAGGGCCGCCACCTGGACTTAACTCTGTTCAC